AGAGAGAGAGAGAGAGAGAGAGAGAGAGAGAGAGAGAGAGAGAGAGAGAGAGAGAGCAACCTCAGCAACGGATCCCCTTAACACGGCTCAGACGGCCCATGCAGGCTATCTGAAGGGTCCTCGCAGCCATGTAGTGCAATCCCCCCAAAATTGAGGCAGGCAGCGCATACGAAGTAGAGCACCAGCTGGCCTAATATATACTCAAGATTCGAGTTCAAGTCTGTGTTTCAGCAGTTACGGGTTGCTCGCGTAGCTAGGCCCTGTTGGTCTCTGCACGTGACTCTTAGGGCTTGGCTGCACTACTTACGAAATGTGCAAAATTATAATGAATCTTCTGCAGAATGTGGAATAATACACAACCATATGTTTTGTCTTTTGTGCATTTAGTGAGTAGAGGCCCTTAGGGCCACTGCACGTATTCCTGAGAAAAGAAAAACGAGAAAAGAAAAGAAAAACGAGAAAAGAACAGAAAAACGAGAGAAGAAAAGAAAAACGAGAAAACAGAGAAATAGTGACCCATAAACGAGATACACAGACCTGAATTCGAATCCAGACAATATATTCTCTGCCCATGCTCACGAAGTACAAGTCTGAATTGTACCTCTGCATGACGGAGGGTCCTAGCTATTACGCTGTAGGGATCCTACGGGAAAGAGGCTGGACCCAACTAGGACATGAATACTCAGATGTATAGACATGTGCCCGCAGTTTTGGGGTATGGCGTGGCCCCGACTTTTCTCCCTCTTGCTTTCTGATTTTTAGAAGCGAGGGGAATGTTTGGCCACCCCACAATGTCCTTTCAACTTTTCATCTTTTTATTTTTTTAATGCGCCGCCGCAAGTATGAAAAAAAACAAACAAACAAAGAAAACCAAACCCCCTCGTAGACTTTCCGGGCCATCTGGATCGTCGGTGAGGGTGGTAAAAAATAAGGCACTATTTTTTTTGGGCGGCCCAGGGCGTGAACAAACGCCCCGGACCACCCAAAAACATTTTGGCCATTGGGCTGGGGCCCTTACATCAGACCAAGATCCGGACCCGGACCACGGACGGTCCGGATACCTGTCCGGTGGTCCGGATCGTAGCCATGGTGAAAAGTCACGACTCAACGGCCCAAGCAGAAGCAGACCTATGGAAATTTGGGAAGGTTCCAGACCTTGACATTCAGAAGCAGACAGGCCGTGGGGATGTGGTACCTGAACCAGTCAGGCCCCAAGAAGCAGAGGCTGGCACGAGTTGAAATGCAAGCCAAGACTACAAAAGGACTGGCCAGCCTCCCATTCAGTCAGATTGCTCATTCGCAAGAAGTGTGGAAGTGCTGGTGCACTTGTGCGCTGATGTGAGGGGCAGAGCGCTGAAGCCAGAAGTGCTGCGCTAAGAGAGAGAGAGAGAGAGAGAGAGAGAGAGAGAGAGGGGGGGGGGGGG